GGGGGGGGGGGGGGGGGGGGGGGGGGGGGGGGGGGGGGGGGGGGGGGTGTGTAGAGAAGTTTCACTCACAGGGCAGCTCTCATCCTACATGTGTAGGAACAGCTGGACCAAAATCCTGATTTTTGGAGGTGTTTGTGGAGGAAAGAGGCTAAGTTAAAGATAAGAAAAGAGTTAGGTAGGGGAGAAAGATAGAAATTGTAAATTAAGTTTAATTAGCAGGAGACGTTCCTTATGAATGTATTCAAGAATGCTTTTCCCTGTAGCTTTTCACAGCAGTGGAAGTGTGAGCATGTTTTTACACATGGGAGACTGATACATACAGGATGTTCTTCTCTAAATACAAATCTCTGCCGTTCCTTTTTAGCCACCCGATGCCAAATCCTACCTTTGTTTCCAACGGTTTGCTGAGCGTACTCTGAGTTCTCTCTGCCTGCTCGTTTCTGGCACAGTGACATCAGAGCCTCTGGGGCAGAGGATGCTCTTTTATCCCTGGGCAGGCTGTATCCCATCAGGATACTTAACTATTCCATTCTTATTAATGTAGGGTCGTGGCAGTGACAATGCTAATGAATCTTTCACCTTTCCTTCTGGCTTAACCTTGGCTAATATTTTGAAGAACTGGTAGGTCCTTTTTTGCCCTCTTTAACAGAAATGTCACTAGCTTTATTCTACTTCCACATAACCTTTTATGTAACCTCCCTTGGATTATCATCTTCTTAGGCTCATTTTATTATTGTTCATTGCTCATATAATGGTGGTTCTTGGGGGAAGGGGGTCATGTGTGCTGGGGTCCCAGTCACCTTGTTCCTTCTCTGCTAATCGCATTGTGACTTATGGCTAAGAACATCATATAGGGATGGGTTTGAATGGATTAAATTGAAGGACTGGGGCTTAGAAAGCCAGTTAGGGGCTTAGCTGCTCTCTCTAACTTTATAGGGAACTCTGGGGCTTTGAAGTCCGTTGTACTGAGATGCCAAAGAGATTTTTTTCTTCTCAAGTAGAACAAATACCTGATATCTACCAAGGTGACTTGTCACCAGGGTTGCTGTCAGGGAACTAGATCACTCACAGCCTTCATCAAACCCATGCTACTCCCCCAGAGGAGCCATCACTGGTGTCTTCCACCATCCCAGAATGGGCAGGGAGATGCATGTGCAGACTACAGAAATTGCCTGGGAAAGTTCACATAGCTCATGGCATGTGTTCAGTCTTTCAGAAGATCACTGTCCCTAGAGGTCCTGGGCTCAGCCATAGCTGGAGGCTAAAGGAGCTGCATAGCCCAGTGCCAGAGTTAGCAGGAGGGTCCACACTTGGGCTTGTCCCAGTGATGGTGTGCAGGAAGCTGTACTCTGTAAACCCTGCTGCAAGGACATTTCTGCAGCCGTATCTACACCAGGGACGTGACATGAGCTGCCTGCACATGAGCAAACCCCCCTCGAATTAGCTGTGCACAAGCGAGAGCGGCTGACCAGCGAAACAGCAATGTGAGCTCTGCGGAGTGACTGCATGAGTCACTGGCTGTGCTAAATCAAATACAAGAGATTTGATTTTCCATTTGGGAGGATTATATAATCATCATTAATTAAGCTTCAGTGAGTAAAGCAGGACTGTAACCTGACGTGAAGACTCAGTAGTCCCTTGAGAGAAGGGGAGGTGGCCCATGGGCCACTCAGAAGAGGAAGGTGGAGTTCCCTTTTGCTTCTGTGAGAAATGCCTACTTGCTCTCAGAGCATAAGGGGTTTTTTTTAATTTGCAAATAGGAATTCTTTCCAATATTTTTATATATCTCAGGTTCTGGTCCTGTAGTCCATATTTTAACAAGAGAGGTGAATATATGCAAACATCTGAGGGAGCCGAGTGCCATCACTGTACCTGTTGACCAGTAGTACCTGATAAGGGGCAAAGTCATGTCAACATCACCAGTGAATAATGCAGTGGATCCCATCCAGTTTCGCCTGAATGCTGAGGGGGAAGGCAAGTAATAAAAATAACCCTCCAAAAAATCCAAGGAAATGCTTAGCTCCCAGTATAAAATGTCAAACTAAATGAGAATAAATTATTTTACAAAGCCGCTTAATAGCTCACTGATAAGAAAAGATAAGGCGGGCTGGATTTATCCCTCCTGTGAAAATTGTTTGTACGTTTGTAAACAGAAAAAGATCTCTCATAATTATATAACCAAATATTGGCTTTGGTATCTTATTTCTGAGGTGACATACTTCCTTAAAACCTCCTGAAAGGACAAAGCCAGATCCTGCCTTACAAAGTGTTCACCAGTATAAAAAAGGACCACCAGCATATTTAAAGTGGCAGATCTGTCCTTTCATTCAAAATGCCTGAAGTTTTCCTCTTGAAGTAGGAGATAACCATTATGTGAAAAGATTTCCTGATCAAGTAATAGAATTAAATATTATAGTGGAATTTAAAATTGTGCATTTTTGTTCCCAATTACATGGTAACTCAGGAAGTATCTGGTTACCGGATGCTAATAATAGCAGATACTCTACTATTAGCTCTGAGATAAGAATAACCATCAAGAAAATGATTGCGCTGAGGAGAAAAAAAAATATCTTTTCACTCCCAGAACAATTATTCAATCTGAATTCCTTTTTAAAAGAAATAAACAGATTTATACAGAAGATACATTGGTCTTGAGCCTCCATAAGCATATGCAGAAACATCTGATAACACAAATAACTCAAAATTAAATTAATGTTTTGATCAGAACTCACAGCCGCACATTGTTATTTGCTATTAACAATACTGCAGAAGCTGCAGCTAGCAATGTGCCGTGCTTACACTGGACTCTCTATGGGCACTTAAGAAAAAAGGCACTATTCCTGCCCTGAAGAATTTACTTGGGGTTCATATCAACACAGGATGGCAAGGAGTGAAACAGGAGGTGGAAAGAGGAGAGAGTAGATCAACGTAGACAAGTAATATATGGACACTGTCACTGTTACCCATCCAGAGCTACTGAGTGCATCTGGCTTGCCACTAGCACTTTAGATTCCTTCATTATATATATATATTAATTGCTGAATATTCTGTTTATCTGTTATCTGAATTTATTTATATGAAACAAGCTTGATTTTATTCTGGTCTGTTCGGCTTGTATTTTTTGAAATCACTGTTCAGTTTGTTCAACAGTCACTAAGACTGGTTCTTCAAACATTAACATCTACTAACAAAACAGGAAGGAGGGATTTCTTCTTTCAAATGGCATAAATGAGAAATTTGCTGTTATAGGAAAAATATGTTTTAAACATCCTAAGTTAAAATAAGATGACTGAGCAACTGAGTGCTGTACTATTATTCACTGAATGTGGCATCTGGGGTTTTTTAAACAAGTTTTCATTCATTTCATGTGGCATGATTTGTACCCCTAAGGATAGAAATCTTGTCTATGGTAGTTAAGGGCTTGGTTCCTTATACATATTACTTATTTTTTAGTATCTTGTCCCTAATGTCCTGGTCTTTTTTTTAAAAAAAACAAACACAACAACAACAACAAAAACCCCTGCATATAGGCACATCATTTTCTTTCTATCTTCTTATATATTTAATACTTCTGCAAAATAGTTCTGTGGTAGCTCCGGGAGCAACAGGTCTGATAGATAATCGCAAAAACTATTAAAATTCATGCTAAGGAGCATCAGCTAATGGATATATATGAAACAATTGTTTCACCTTTCTGATTACATATCTAGCTTTGTCACATGGCCTTCTAATTCCCTACTCAAGGTATTTTGTCTAGATCATTTAATTGTGAAACACACATGCCCTCATTTGCCCGAGCCCACCTGTTTATAGACAACATTTTCATCAGGTGCCTTTTGACAAAAGCACTCCAAGACCTGTATTTGACTTCGAATGTTAATATCATCATAGCCTCAGACTTCATCCTGTATTTTTCATTCCACTGCTTTTCTGTGGTGCTCTCAGAAAGTTCGCTACTGAACTTTGCTACTGCAAGATGCTGTGTATTTCTTTTAAAGAGTCTTGAAGAATTGTATGATTTTTCAGAAGGCATGCTTAAAAATTATAACAGGATTTTTTAAAAATTAATGTAATAATGATATCTTTTTTTTAACTACACCAAAATTTATCAACAAAAAAAGCTGAAATCTGCTGGCCAGCTGTAAGAGCAGAGCAAATCAGGATGTGCAGATAGAGCTGTGGAAAGAACAGATACCAACAAAATAAGTCAGGCATCAAAGCAATTCAGAAACAAAGGTGGGGTTTTTTTTCTTTAAGTTATTGTAGTTACTATTTTCATATGGAGATGTACATTGCAAGGTGCTGGCTACCTGCTTGCATCATTAAGGCTTTTAATGTTCTGGACTTTGTCAAAGGCAGTTGAGTATGGAGATAACACAGTAGCTGTGTGAAGGTAGGATGACTTTCCTCCAGGCCAGCTCTGTCTCATCTCCTTGAGCTTATTCATTCACTCACACTTAAGTTCAACATTCCCAAATGTTGTGATAAAATCTCAAATTTACTACATAGCTGTCCTATATGATAATTATTGGCCTTTTAGTATTGCATTTACCTCTTGTAAATTTAATCCTATTTTGTAAATGCCACATTCAGGGACGCATTCTGCAGTCTTCTGGGGAACACATCTCAGGCTCATGGCTGTTTACATCAAACAGCTGACATAAAAAGCTATCCATTCTCTTTGGTGCTACTCAGTCTCCACTTTCTTCTGCAACTGGTGTCATTTGCAAGCTCATGGGTTCACTAACTAGGTTAACTTATCATACCTGTACTTCAGAGGCTGGATGTGCTTATCTTATTTTCATATCTTAGAGCCCAGCCTGCAAACTTTTGCTACTGAACTAGGCTGTTACAGAGGGAAACAGCCCCATTGACTTCAAATGTGACACCATATTATGTAGTAAGCTTGGAAGTAACTTTTTACAATGCCCTTAATGTGAGTTTATAGCAATCCCATTCATTTTTATACAGGACTGACTACAGAAATCGACAGACTTACACAAAATAATCGTATCAGAGATGAATCAATAACTCTTTACTCAGGCTTCACTTACTTCCTGTAGCTCCTAACTCTTTTTTCTTTTTTTCCCCCTCTTGTATTACTACTCCCATAGAAGACCTCATATATGCACATAACCCCAGGAGCAGAATGGGAATACATATTCCTAGGAAGTCCCCAGAGCAAGTGTGCTTTGCTGGTGAAAGGAGGAGAATTTTGCCCATATTTTTTATCTCAATATCCAGTCAGCCATGCCCTCCAGACTCAACTGCAGGAGAGGGCTGTAATCTCTGTGGATGTTCACATCTGTGCTGCCTTCTCACATGAAGAATCTTTCTTCCCCTTTTTGGTGCAATATATAGTGTGCACACAGTGGCCTAAACCAGTTAATCACAGGTGTGAATTCTCATCAGAGTAGTTATTTTTCTGTCTCATGCACTGTCATCCTTGTTATCAGCTATGTATCATTATTCTAAGGCTTTAAATAGGTTGAACTGGGTTCCAAAAGCACATGATAAGTTTAGACTTCTTCCATCTCTACAATTTATGCTATTGAACTAAAGCCCAGTGCAGAAGCACCACAGAATAAAAATTGCTAGTTATCTCCCCCCCCAGATAGATACAAACTCCTTAATTTTCACAGGAATGGACATGCTTATCCTTTCTTTGCCCTCTGCTGAAAAGACAAACTGTAGAAAACTTCATAAAATTGGATATAGGGGCCTAATAGTATGGAAAGATAGTTTCATATTAACGTTAATCCCTGTTAGCATTAGATTAACTCATATTGGTGAGCTCTGGCTGCTTAATGGGAGATAGTTGGCTGGGCAGGGCAAGAGCCCAAGGCCAGCTCAGTTCCCATTGCAGCTTAGCCCACAGTTTTCTTTCAGTGCCGTGGGAGCGGGATCACCATCTCTAAACAGCTCAAATCTGGATGCGATGTGGGCCTAGTTTAAGGCAACACAACCGTTTGGCAATGTATCTCTGTGGCAGGAGGTGTTAGTGGGCTCTCAAAGCAGCACAAGAGCCATGCAATCATGAAAGACACAGATAAAAAACCATACACAAAATCTGTAGCCACATTGCTTCCAGTTTTTCCTCCTGCCCAATGTTTCAGGAGACAGCACTCCAACTCCAGACTCACCAGAAATGCCCAGCTCTGGAAGCCAGTGCCGTACACAGGGTCCTCTTTTCTCTTCTTTAAAACAAGGAGAGCTTGAGCACGCTGGGGATAGTTCTCCTTAGATGCAGAAGGGGAAGGCACACTTCAGCAGCCAAGAATCACAAGCAGCCTCTTGCTAGCTCGATGAAGCCACACTGGCTGTGGGTCCCAGTGTTTTGCCACTGATGACTTAATGAACTCTCTTCATCTATCTCCCTTGCCAACGCTTTTTTTCACTGCCTCATGGAAGTTAGGGCATTAGGCATGCTCAGTGAGTGTTGAAAAAGAGCAATTGGATGTGGGGGTTTCTTTCCAGAAAGCTGATTTATGCTCTGTAAGAAGGTTTGGCCTTATTTTTATCAGGATTAACCTATAAGATTCATACTTGAAGTTAAGCTCTGATGTCTTTCTGCCTAACATGACTGACTTGGATTTAAATATATGCATATCAGCTTTAAAAGCTTTTAGAGCACTTCTCTGAATAAAATTAGTATTAGTACGCTTCAAGTGTGTAAAAATATTCAGGAAGAGCAAATCTCATATGAGGCATGACTCGAGGTCCTGTATTTTTCCCTACCTAGTGCCTAACTCCACTTGCAATGGCTTTGATGAGTCTGTCCCAAGGGCTTACAGAACATCCCCGGGAAAGCAAATCTGCTTCGTTGCAACTGTTCGTTTGGCAACGCCTCAGTTTTTAAAGGTAAGTGCATACCCTGGGTCCCATTCATTTCAGAACTTCTCAAAACACTTTCAGATGGGGTGACATGCAACGTTCTTAGTTTTGCTAATTGAATGGATTACAGATATCACATTTCATGCATAAAAATCCAGTGAAGAGGATTATCAGTGCAAGCCAGGATCTGCAGAAGTAGTGTCATTTCTGCCCCCCTTGTACGGGAAATGAAAATCCTCCTTGCATTAGGAATTGCAAAGTCACTTTGAAATTGGGTTCTTTGTTGCTGCTTTCTGTCCCTGCAATGGGACAGGGTACAGATGTCTGGTCACCAACGCTTTCATTTGTGCCCCTCAGTGGTTTTGGATCACTGCTGCTAGTTTCCCTCCTCTCAAATCCTGGTAGTAAGATAGCTGCTTGTGAAAATAAGGATAGACCACCCAACTTTGTGCCTGGCACTGTGTTTCCCTAATTAACAAATGTGAGCTACTGCATCAGGTGTCCCATCCTCAGAGGTTAAGAGATTTTTAATCTAATCAAGACCTAGCCGGTATGAAATCACTACTCCCTTGGCATGGCTCCATTACTGCTCTGGAACTTACAGGGCACTCTTGACTGATTCATGGCCCTGGCAAGCAAAGTAGAGTCCCTCCTGGGTAAGGGAGGACACTTCCCATGAGTCTTAACCATAGTAATCATATTAGCAGTAGGGATTGGACTTAAGGTTCTCTGGGAACCCTGAAAGCAAATTCCCTTGTCTTTGGGTAGCTAACAACTCAAAATAAACAGGGAAACGAAATGGGCTGCATGTGGCAATGAGCTGCCCAGTGCTAGGAGGAAGCAGATGCTGAACAACCCTGAGAAGGTGTTAGCTGCCATGAAATCCTGGGCACCAATCTCTTCAGTTCACCTGGGTGACTCACATAACTTTCTCCTCTCAAATGAAGGCAAAAATATTTATCTGACTGGCTAAGGAAGGCAGAATCAGCATTTTGATTGCACACGGCAATGCTTGCATGTTGCACCTTAAATTTTAATCCATCAGCATGGATTTTGTCATAAACTGGAGAGGAGGGGGGAGAGGAATTTAAGGTATGCATGAAGCCTTTTGCCTCTGTACAGTCAGGAACTTTAATCAACTTTGTGAGCACCAAAGAAATGCTTGATGGCAGCATGCCTCAGCTTGTCCTCTGGTCCCAAGAGGGTTCAAAACATTGATGGTCTGAAAGACCGAGAGGAACAGCAGAGAGAGAAGTGGCAGTGGAGACAATGGGAGGGTGTTGCTGAGCCTGTGGCACCAGGGAGCAGGCAGACAGCAGCACTGGGGGCCAGTGGGCAGGCTGTCCTTACCAATGATGATGTCGATCCTCCTGCAGGAGAGACATGGGCCATATGGTAACCCTGAATGTCACCAAATGCTGAGCACTGATGCTGGCAAGTTCCAGGCCAGGGGTCTCCAGGCTGACTCTAGACAGCTCATGGAGCTGGAGTTGCCCCTGCAAACCACCAGTGGGAGAGGAGAGGTCAGCAGAGGGGAGCTGTGAGTGGGCTGGGAGCCAGCCCTAGGGCACGCAGCCAGCCCCAGCTCATGCACAGGCATGCACCATGGTGCCATCCTTCCTCCCCTTCCCACCTCCACCCAACAACTGATTACCACCGACTGCCTCTTGGTCCTCATCCCTCTGGGGCAATAACGTCCTGCCTCACAGACAGCCGTGTGCCCTGCCTCCTGTAATTCATTTATTAATTATCATTCTCACGAGCACCAAGAGCTGTTAATCTTAAGGACCAGCTTCTTCACTGTGGGAGTGAAGCACAGGGCAAAACTCATGCCTTTCACCCACCTGTCAGGCCCCATGAAGGCTGCCTGCCTGCCTCAAAAGGCATTTACTCCTCCACAGCTATTGAGTGAGAAGGAGAGTGTCCCCCTTTTTCAAAGAGGGCTCAAAGGGCAGGCATCCAAAAGGACTGGACAAGAGTGGAGAATATCTTTAGTAACACAAAGAGGGTGGGGAAAGACATGACAAACCCAGGTGAGACTTAAGTACAGGCTGGATGCTGGGAAGGGTCATTGCTCCTTGCAGCCATGGGCAGCACAGCCATCACACCACAGGCACTGCTTCCAAACCATAAAAACTTTGACACCCCAAGGAACAGTCTCGGCTCTTAAGTCTCCCCAACTCCTGCAAAAATATTGGCATTGATAAATACAGAAGATCACTCCTTGGAATTTCCAGAAAACATGCGAATCCTCTGTTTTCTCCTCTTATGCACTGTGTATTTATAGCTAACAAAAGCTAGATGAAGCAGAGGGGTGAAGCTGCAACTCGCAGTAAGTCAGTTTTCTTCACTATACAGGAGATGTGCATCGTGGAAGAACCTCTAGAGGAATTCACATCAAGACACAGTCTGGAGTGGAAATTTTTATTCCTGGATCACAGGTTGGTGACAGGAAAAGCACTCCTGGTTGTGTTCAGTGCTTGTCTACTGCTATTTTTGCAAGTGCAATTCTCTCAGATAGTGTTACATTTCACATCGACATTGCATGAACAAGAGGGCAACCACTGAAATTCTTACAAAAGATGATATTTACTATTTTACGCTGCATTTATTTTTATCAGCCTTTTAAAACAAAACTACTCTGTTTCTCAGGCTGAATTTGTAGTTAGCTTGTTCTTGTTTCCCTCAATGGACCAAAGCCTGTCACACAGCAAAATCATCTAATTATTATACAGCTGCAGAAATCATTCTTTCCAAATTCAACCATTGATTGTGTGTGTGCAATTCCCACCAAGTTACAGAGGGAAAGTCTGCTGGCCTGAGGCAACTGTGCTGTCAAAGGTACAAAGCAACTGCCTCAGCATGCCAGTGACGCTCTGCAGGCACCCAGAGGGAAATGGCACAGATGATCTCCCCTCCTAGCCCCCTACTCCCAGCAGACAATGGCTTCCTATCACCTCGCTGCACATCTTCCCCTGTGCAGGGACTTTGGGACCCGCAGCAGAGCCACTGACCAAGGAACAGCCAAGGAATGGCTCCCTCACAGGAGGCTCTTGTGTAAACAGCCCTGAGAAGCTGAGTTACTTTCCACAACCACATTTTCCCTGGAAAGATGGGGTTGTCATGGCCTTGTCCTGGGGGGAAGTCATGATCTGGTCTCCTGGGGGGATGAACTGTACACCAGTGAGCGAGAGCAGATCTGGGCTTTTTATATATCCATGTCAACATGCAGAACTGCTGTTTCTTTTGTGGTTTATGAATTCACTCATGTTGTGCCTAACCACAGAGCACCGCCGATTATAGGATACTTGCCTTTTGAAGTGTTGGGTACTTCTGGCTATGACTATTACCATATAGATGACCTCGAGCTGCTAGCAAGGTGCCATGAACACTGTAAGTATCGCATAGCCCGGGTTCCTGTGGAGTCACTGGGACACCTCTTTTCAATGAAACATAGTTTCAGTTAAAGTTCGTTTAAACTTGGAAGGGGAGGTTTGACCCTTGCCTCACACATGTATGTCTTAGTAGACTTGCAGCAGACTGGGGGAACCGCAGCTGACTGGCATCCGGACCAGACTTATCAAGTTCTGAAAAATACAGTTTTACTTTTCATATCCCTGAAAGTAGTTGACAAGATTCACTGAATGGATAAAATACCCCAGACTACACCCCTGCTCTGTTAGTAAAGAATACCCACTAATAGTTAAACCAATCTCAGAGGAGATCCTATTTTGTAAAATTCTTGTGGATTATTTACTGTAATGTTGTTAACTGTGTATTTGGTATTACCTGTGATTATTTAAATATAGCCTATTAAGATTTAATTGAAAAAGTCTTTCACTAAATAAAGAAAATGAGGCAATGCTTTTGAAATATTTGCTTACAGAACTGGCTGGAACATCTCAGTTTACTACCTCTGGGTGGCCCAAAAATATCCTGTCAACATTAGTTTTTATATGTTGACATTAAAATATAGAAAGGCTAAATATGTGCATGTTTGGGAACCACTTGAAATCACTGGGAAGAAAAGCAGAGATTAATTTTGCCAGTGAATCTTTAAAACCTTTAATGCACCCCAGTTTACTACACTTTGAATTCTTGTCAGCCTGGGAATTTTCCTCGAGTTGCATATTATTTTTGTCTTTGCACAATGTTATCTCCTATACTCACTTCATTCTGAATCCATCTGCACACAATGCTCATCTTTTCAAGCATTTTTATCCTGTACTTTCCTACTACGGAATTTAAGCTGATCACTCTTAGAAATTATTCCCAAGTGCCTAGTTAAGAAGTATGTGATCAGCACATAAACCAGAGTAAGATCTATGTTTAAGTTGTAGCAGATGTTAATGTATTAGTGTCCAAAGTTAAGGTTAATTGTACTATGTAGGAAGGTACCATTAGAAGTGTCAGAAAAAGGTACCTACTGATCTTTATGATATCTTCTCTATCATAAGACTGACAGCACCAGTCACTCAAAAGGTGCTTAGACTCCTGTCTCCCTTGGGAATCAATAGGGCCATAGATCTTTTGTCACACTTTTCACATTTCATGTCATTTTCACATCATAACTTGTGCTATAAGCTGTGTGTATTTTCTGCTGACAGTGATGCAGTTTGGCAAGGGGAAGTCATGCTGCTATCGGTTTCTGACCAAAGGACAGCAATGGATCTGGCTCCAAACCCATTACTACATCACCTACCATCAGTGGAACTCCAAGCCAGAGTTCATTGTGTGCACACACATGGTGGTAAGGTATGGAAAACCTTATCAACTGACAGGAACATAAAGGACAGTAAGATAAGGGCATCCTTATGACTGTCAAAATTTTCTCTTAGAAAAATTATGTCTTCTGTGTAACTAAAAAGAAGACTGACCTCTCTGAAGGATATATTTTTACTATAGAAAAATGATCAGACTAAACCTTACTTTATTCTAAGCTTGATTTGTCAATCAGGAGTACAGGGGAAGATTAACTGTTGAATTTTTTCCATTTTGTGAAAAAATAGGAAATAGGAAGATCCCTTAACTATTCTAACAGTTAGCTAGACTCTAATCCTTACATTGTTTTTAAAAAAGATGTGTGGAAGTTTTCCAGTAAAATTATAAAGTGGTTACAGGCTGTGAACTTGTCCTTTACTTCTATAATATAACTCTTGACTTTGAGAAGACAAGAACAGAGCAAAACCTGAAAATTTAGTCTCTCAAATGTTCAGTAGCACTTAAGTGATTTTTCATCTGTTTGTTTAGCCTGTAAAATGTTACAATAATTTGTTCCTCTGTTTGCTTAAAGCACATTTTATGAAATATAACAATCCTGTGTTGATACATACAATTATATTTTACATTCAGTTATGCAGATGTTCGGGTGGAGAGGAGACAGGAGATGGGCTTGGTAGAAGTGTCCTCAGAGGTTGTGTCCTCAGCACTAAAGGTACAGAGAGTAAAGTTTTTTTCATTAATATATGTAGTAATCACAACTTGTTCCTATGTTAACATCACTGAAGACTCCAGCATTGTCTTTCTGGGTGGATTCCCTCAACTTCAGGATTCCTTGCTCACTTGAATAATTTTAAAATAAATTGGTTAAGCTGATGAAAGGATACACCTTTTTGTGTATCCTACTGAAAGGAGATCAGTAACAGCCACAAATTAAGTGGGAAATGGGCAGGGGCAATGTGAGATACCTCCACCTTTCCTTGACAAGGTATTACAGTTTAAAGATTCATTTGGACATGTTCTGGCAAACAGCCTTCTTGGCTACATCTCAGTGATCTGCTGAGGGAAGACAGAAAAGCTCCTCCTCGGTGCACGGCTGAATGTCTCACAGAGGTTGCAGTTGCTGTCACATCCAACTGAACGCAAAAGAAAGATTCAGAAAAAGATGTGAAGGCTCAAAATTACTATGGCAGTAGCTTGCTATTTATTTCCAACTCAGTGATACTTCGTTGTAAAATGCTTTTAATTAAATGCTATTTGGAAGGGATGTAGACAACTGTGCCCAGGTCTGCTGCTGGCCTACCTGGGATTAGTTTTGCCCAAGCCATTTTAGGCCAGCCAAAGAACAGGGTGTGCAACCATTACTAGATGCATTTCAAAATGTTTTTACCTTGATTGATGCAATAGCTATAATAGTTATTCCCCTTTTTTTTTTTTTTGGTTTGTTTTAGGACAGTGGCACCAGCTTGGATCCTGAACAGCACTTTAATGCACTTGATATTGGTGCCTCAATCCTCAGTGCTAGTCGGACACCCTCAGTATCATCCAGGAGCTCACCAAAATCTTCTCACACACCCAAGTCAGACCCAGCATGTGAGTGGCATTCCTGGGTTACTGCACTATTTTTAATTTAGCCAGTTTACAGAATGTGTGCATATATACCACACCTGCTAATTTAACAGCTATTTATGAGGTATCGATGATATGCATTTGTCACTCACAATGGATCTGAAATGGTAACTTGCAAGAGGGAAGGTTCTAGTGCAGCCACCTATACACTGGAAAATGGGTAGCAGGACTAGCCATGAGACCTGCTGTTTCAACCTGTTATAAAAATGAAGACTTCTGTCTTAGATTTGAGAGCATCAGTATGAGCAATATGGCTAGACTTACATGATTCTCTTATGGCCAAGATTCAGCTTTGATTTGGGCACACCTTATACACTCTTTCTGCTCCCTGGTCTGGAAGCAAATCCAGTGAACTAACCTAAATTTACAGTTATTCAGCTCATATGAAGGGAGTTCTAGCTGTTTTAGAAGAGCTCTTGGGTTCTTCTGCTCTGTTCATTGGAGCACAGAATCATAATCTGTCTCATTTACTTTTATCTTTACCCAGACCCTCCTTATCAGTTTAATTTTACTGCCATTGAAGTCAACAAGAACAGCCTTGACTCCTGCTGGAATTCAGCCAGGCCGTTAATAATTTCTAGCCAGGTCTTGTTTAACACCCACTTCAAATGGAGCCGATTTCCAGTGTGTGAGAACTCACCAGTACTTTTCTTGCAGCTACACCAACAAAGCTGCTTGCAGAGTCTAACACTCCCTTGCCAAGAACACCGAGTGCGCAGCAAGATTTATCCGTGCATAGACTCAGTCAACCTACTGCTCTTCAGGTAACTTCACAAAGAGTCATCAAAACAGGCAGACAGGATAAAACATGTGCCACATACACAGCTTTGTGATTACAAATTACTTACACAAAAGCCGTGGCATTAGAAGAAACCTAAAATTTAAAGGAGCCAAACTTATAAATTAAGTTTTGTTTTGTTTTGTTTTGTTTTTAACCTAGGTTTCTTTGCCTTCTCAGCCTCCATGTGAGCTTCTCCCACAGCAATTGCTGCCTCAAGCAACTCTTCAAAGTCAGCCTGCACCTCTGGCACAGGTTAGTTGGATATTTGGAAATGGAATAGGTCACTTGTTTATCTCCTGGTATTTTCTCTTTTTGGGGCTTTTAGATTACCTCTCTAGTAGCAAAAATCCCTAAATCTTCCAGCTCTCAAATGCTTAAAATATTGTGGGAAAGTAATCTGAATTGTACACTTGTGTGTTTAAACATATATTTGCATACAGGCATTCAGAGCAGAAGTCCACGTGCATGTAGGTTCAGGTGCATGCACACATCTATTTCATAGAAGGACAAAAAAACAGATGGAAAAAGAGTTTTTAACTTTGCTTCCACAGATTCAGGTCCTATCAAAATCAAAGTCAAAATGAGAATTAAAACCAAAAACTAACAAAGACATACAGTCCTCCTAAGAACACCTGTTTGGCTGTGCTGATGCAGAACTAACCAGTAGTAAAGAACATGCAGGTTCAACAAAACCCATATTGTGTCCAATAATAGTGAGCATGCTACCGAAGGCAAATTCCTCCAGTGAAATCTATTAACCTATATCTCAAAAGCAGGTGATGGCCCAAAAAGCCACCTCAATGTTTCATTTGCAGTGGATTTTGAAGGAGCAAATTTGAGTACTATGTTCCCATCATATTGTTTCTTCACTGTGGTCATGCTGTGGTGATACACACCATCATCCTCTGATTTTAGAAACGACAGAGTATTTCTGGACCTAGGCTGCTTCTAACATTGGTACCCTGTATTCCCTCACAAGATCCCAGAGCTTTTTCCTGTACCATATAAAACATATAAAGTCCTGAGGATCTCTGCTTTAAAATAACAAATTCTCATTTATCTTCCATGTTTAATATTCTTTCCACGACTCCACACCAGCATGCAGTGAAGAAACAGCATATCAATTATCTGCTCTGAGCATTCATTTTTTTACAGATATTTCTCTCCATTATTCATTAATGCACTTCCCGACATCAATTAGTTTATTTATTATAAACCCACGCATGTTTTGTTTTGACTTTTTTCTACCTCCCTTTCTTCTCCATCAAATCTCTTTGTGAAGAGATGCTTTCCAGTCATTTACTGAGAGCCTCGCCGCCTTGCCCCTTCCCAGTAAAACGCTCTTAGTGGCATGCCAGCTTCATTTCTTTTCCATCAAATCAGAGTGCTGTCCAGTTGCATGGCTAGTGTTTAAGTCTCTTTGAGCCAGCTTAATCTCGGTGAAAGGAAGAGGGCTGACTCAAGTCTGTCTACACAGGCAGACCTCTTTTCAACTGGCAGCAGTCACAGCAGTGTTCCTGGTGGAGCTCAGGATGGAGCTTCCCTTGATGTGGAGCAGGGAAATAGCACCAGGACGCTGCAGCTCACGTTGCTGAGGCACACACCCTATAGTGATACTGCTGGGAAAGGTAGCAATTCTCCACGGGCATGGGTGATTTTCATAAACTATTAATTGCTTTCTTCAATTGCTTACCTCCCACCTTAAAATAATAAACATGTCAGCCTACAGCAAGATAATCCATTATTTAAAAGACAAGGTGCCCACAGTGTGAGTGACTCAAGTGAGTGAGTGACAAAACTCAGGTACGCGTGCTTCCCACCACAAACATTTCCTTGGCTTCCTAGTTGACTGTTTTGCAGCCATTTAGTGGCAGAACACAACCTCATTGCGTTTAGAAATAGTGTGGCTGGGCGCCCTGTTGCCAGCCCACAAGGAGGAGCTGTGCCAGTTGCTCCCCACTGCCTTTCTGCAGCTTGCCCTCAGCTGAAGGTGACCGATGGCAGAAGCTGAAGGGCAGTGTGCTGAGCCTGGCCACGCAGGAGCCTGGCACTCTGACGGGCATCCTTGTGTCTAACATTCAGCTAGGGGGTGGCAGTGGGGAGGAAGGACATTTTAAGCAGCCGCAACCACATCTGCAGCAAGCAGCTAGCTCCTGCCTCAGGCGCCATCTGCTTGAACTTTGATTAGTTTTATTTTGAGAAAAGGCTGCAATGGTTTTGTCTCTGCTGAAATGCAGTTTGAGCTTCTGCCTTGCTTGTCTGAATGAACAGACTTGATGTCACCTGAATGTAAATGGTTTACTTTAATCCAAGTGCTCCCTATTAGAATATTTGTTTGTTTGCCTTCCTTATTGTAATAAATTAAAATCCCCTACAACACAGCGGATGTTGATGACTGAATAATAATTAGCACTAATAATCCGTTTGGGATTGCGCAGGTGTTATTCAGAAGACAGAAAGAACGAACAAGTTGTTCAGTGAGCTGCAAAACTAATGAAACTCAAGTTTCCCAGGGGCTGTGCCTTGCAAGGCTGGTGCACAGATCCAGCCTTTCCCACAGGAGGAAGGGATGAGTGGATCCCTCTCTTGCTCAGCTAAAGCTTTCCTGAAATTACAGCAACCTTGTATTTCTGAGACTCTCACAACTCTGTTGCATGTCTCTAGCATTGGCCAGAAGGATGGGAAGTTGGAAGGTAGGCAGAAATGAGAGGTTCAAAGGAAACCAAGCTAAAATATAAATAGGGTCTTTTCTTTACCCAGCTACCTATTGCCATGAAACTTGTGGGAAGAGAATGTCTTTTAGGTGTCCATCTTTTTTTTGTGACATTTGAAATGGGGGCCATCCTGACAGACACCAGGGCCAGAGGTCACCTGGCTGAAGCCCCCCAGCACCTAGAGAGAGGGAGTAGCCCTGGCACCCAGGCGTGGCTGCTGGTGGAGAGAAATGAATAGTCCAGCTGGCCTTTTTCAGATGTCCATGCTGACGAAGAGGAGTCACAGCCCAGAAGTGCTGGTCCCTCTCCCTGGGCTGTAAATTCTGTCTGGATTGTCAGTGCTGGTGCATTGAGCCCGTCCCTACCAGAACATCTGCTGACATGATCCCAAAAGTACCACTTTATTTTTTTTTAAGAAACCAGACTAAAATTACTGCAGTTGGGTTTTTTCGGTCTGCATTAACAGACCAAACATGTTTGACCATACCTGGAAACTGGCACTTTTCTGTGTATAACATACACTTTTCTGAGGATCCTACAGATGTTTGTAAATATGTGAAACAAAGAGCAACTTCGTCTGATGCAAATGGCAGAGTTAAAGCTGTACAGTGTTTTCTGTGACACATTTTGAGTTAAGCTCTTTTAATTTATGATACAATTACAGATTTCTCCCATAATTAGTAGAGCAGCTAATAATCTTGAGATAAATACTCTCTCGTGCAGGTCAATTGCTGTTAGTGTCTCACTGTACAAAAACAATAGAAGCTCTGTAATCACAGGGGCCGTGGCTAGAGTTATCAACAAATTTGGGGGTTAGAGTGTCAAGGGGAAGAAAGCAAAATAGAAAGTTCCTTGTCTTCTTTCGTAATGTTTTTCACTCTAGGATACCAGCTAAATGTTGTTAAGTATACTAATAGAAAAAGCACATGAAAAAGAGAACAGAAAGACAATACTAGATGAATATGCTAAATATAAGAAGGTACTGAAAAAAAATCAAGGAGTAATAGTCTAAAATCTACAGCAATATATTTCTGCATGCAACTTTGCAAAGCAAATTCAAATTCAAAACTAAGGCCTGGAAATGGAGTATAAAATGATTATAAAACTTTGTTATAAAATTCCTTACATTTATTAATTGAAGAAAATCGAGTTCCTTTCCCTCAGTGTCTTAAAGGAGTTCACACATTAATGAAAAGTCTCCCATCAGCAAGCCAGGCAGTTAAAATGAAGCTTTTGGCTAAAATTGCTTTTAATTCCTTTCTGATAAGGACCCTTTTAAAGCCTTAAGAGTAGTTCTCACTAACAGAGTTCATACAGAGAGAATTAGGTTGCAAGACTTGTCTTTTTAAAAAACCCTTCTGTACAGACCCAGGTTAAAGCAGGAATTAGCGGCATCTCATCTAAGCAAGCCATTGCTACATGGCATCATTCCACTCCTAAGACTAGGGTACCTGGGACTCCTCAGAAGCATGGAGTCAGGCTACCACAAGCAGCACCGAATGCCCCTTTGAGGCACTTGTCCTTGTTCCCAAACATCAGAAGTTTCCACTTCTCCATTCCTTGGGTTAATAATTTATACATGGACTAGAAAAAGAGAGAGACCCCGCCTTGAATTCTCTCCTTTAATACTAATTAGGAGTAACACAGACTTCCCTTTCGGAGACTTGACAGCATTTTTCTGATCTGGGGGAGGACCAGGTCACAGATGACACCACTGCTGTTTGAAGGCAAGCGCATGGATCACAACACCATAGGCCAAATGCTGACATTATCTCCTTGGGCAGACAGTGCAAGCTGCAAACACTCACACATTCCCTCACTATCAAAATGGGCTCTGGGGGGCCTCTGCCAGCAGTAACCACATGGGCCACCTTAGCAACTCTCCTTCCCCCTAAGCAGGGCTGGCCACGAAACTCCCCTCCACCTTGACACACGAGCAAACGCTTTGAGTGGTGACCTCCTGGACTGTGCAGGACAGCTGGCCTCTACCTGGTAAATAGAAATAAATCCTCTCATGTTCCTGTCCTTTCTCACATAAAGGCCATCTACATGGAGATTTCAGATTTGCTGGAGGGAATGTGGAGGTATTTCACATACTTAGCTGGTTTAAGGCTCTCCTTAATTCCTTTTTTGTTACCATTTTTGTTTTCCTACTAAAAAGCCAGAAACAGTACAAGCAAGTGCACCTCCACAGAGCAGGAAGGCTCCAGCAGCGTGCATGAGTTTACCCACTTGCACAGAGCCACTGGAACAACCACAGGAACAGGGCATTGTTTTCAAGTCACAGCAACATTAATATTTTTCTTTTGCCTGGACACTCACAGCGCCACATATTTTCAGAGAGGTCTTGGATGCCTTGATTGCAGAAAAGCTCACAAAATTTTTTTAAGTGGGTTTTTTTTTCCCAAAGACTGTTTTTTGCTTTTGGAATATGAGCTCATGCAAAGCAACTACTTCAAAGCCTATTAAAGGAATACTCAACTTTGGTGGACTTTGATTCATAGCCGAAAACACCAAATAAAACTAGGAATTTATTGTTGTGTTAGTCCCCTCCATGCTTATTGAATTGATTCTACTTTGTGACAAGTATTGCTGCTACTGGAGGTTGCACTTTCTTCTTGACCCTGAGTAGTGATCTACATTTCATATTATTATTTAGAACAGCCTTTCTCCCACTGAGCTGAGCTATCCATTCTATGTCATGTATAAATATAATGAGTATTTCTTGTAGCTTGACTACTACTCAGCTGCAGAAATCTGGAAAATGTGTGTTGTGGTCAGCTGTTGCATGATGCTATAGTAAGTTGTCAGGATAAAAAGCCATTGAAGCACTGCTGTTTCTGTGTGGAAAAAGGAAAGCATTAGTAAAACACATCCAGAATATACAGTTATGCCATGCTAAGGGCTCCAAACTACAGGCTAATAAACATAATGCACTCATTTGACATCCAATTAAGATGCTCTTGATATTTTTAAGTGGCGTACTCTCAAAAACAGCCCTTCTGATAATTCCCTAACAGAACAGGGTCAGTTGTAAGCAGATCACTCTAACTGAGGCAATTTAATATATGTGCATAAAATTGAAAATAGACAAGATTTATCTCTGCCTAGATGTTAGTATATTACAAACTCATCTTTTATTCCTTTGGCTGCTCTTTACAATCAAGAAACCAATAACTTCTCACAGAACAATGTTCTATTGAGGCCTGTTTGCATTATAATGACTGATTTTTCCCCATTGTTTTTTCAGTTTTCAGCACAGTTCAGTATGTTCCAGACCATAAAGGACCAGCTAGAGCAGCGGACCCGGATCCTGCAGGCCAACATCCGGTGGCAGCAGGAGGAGCTCCAGAAGATACAGGAGCAGCTCTGCCTGGTCCAGGACTCCAGCATACAGGTGTGTTACTGCTGCGAGGGTCAGAGTGAAGCATCCTCTCTTGTGTGACTGTTGATAGGATTCGCAACTTAAAATTAGCTCCAGGGTCCAGGAAATCCGGACATGTAGAAACCAGCTCATCTGAATGACGATGTTGCCCTCTGAAAGCCTCTTGAGTAGCCTAAGTCAAGAAAGATTTAAGAGCTCTCTGGAAGAGGAGAAGGAAGAAATATCTCAGTCTTAGGAGGAAGAGAAGAATTTGGGTCATTTACAGTAGCATTTTAATACTTTATCTACCAAGTCTTCAGATTGAGCAGCTGTAGTAGAAAAGTGTTCAAGTTCGGACTTGCCAATGATTATGTCTCTCCAGTTTATTAGCTTCCATCCAGTAACTGCTTGCTTCATGTTGGCATGACTTGTGCTCAGTATCTTGTCTGTCCAGCTCTTCCTTAGCCAACAGCCCTTCTTCAGGCAGTGCTCATCTCTTTCATTCACTCCCTGTTTTCCTGACCCTACACCAGCCCGGATACAGAGCAAAAGAGATTAATTTCCTTGTCATGTTAAAACCCCCCAAACCTCTGCTGATGTTCATTTGTTCACACCTGGGGGGTGTCTGAATTTGTTCTTCACTGGACCAGCTTAATCCTTTAGGGTGAAGCTGACTGAGCCTGCTCTTCTGCCTTTGATACTTTTTACACAGAGCTAGAATTCACTAAGTACAGTATCCGCTTTTAATTCACCAAGTACAGTATCTGCTTTGTACTACCCCTTACGTCTACCAAAGCTCAGAAATAATAGCGAGTGCAGTTCAGTAGTTCACAGGTTTCACTTAACGTCAAATGGTCAAATCATCCAGTTTTACAGAAGTTTTCTAAATGCGGGGTGATTACTGCTATGTTCCTCATAATTTAACTATAAATGCCAGGTTAAATGACCCTTGCTAGAAATGTTGCATTGGGGACCCACTGTGAGTATTGAACTGACAAGATTTTTTTTAGAAGACAAGCTGTGTCACGGAAACAAATGTCTCAAAGAACATTTTAAGTACAGGATGAAAACCTGGAACCTGCTGAAGTCAGCAGGAATTTTGCTCCCAACTACCACAGAAATAGACTCACCCATCATCAGCATCTGTGAAATACCATTTCATGTATTAAAACAAATTGGGACTGTATGTTTAGGCAATTAAGGGATCAGTGAAGCCAAATTAGAAACTTTGCAACCTAAGTTGCTGCATGTGCACTGCTATAACACAGCACAGCAATGGTGGGTCCCCAAACCAGGATCCTCTGTTCCTGGTGCCACATAAGCATACCAATAGACCAGGATTAACTTCAGTGCATTTCTTCTGTTGGTTCTGCGCTGTCTTAGATTAATGGGAATGAAAAGTCTCTCTGCAATTAACAAGCCTTCAGTTCAGAATCATGTCATATGGCTGAAAGCTATTATTGTTATTACGAATATCAAGAGATGTGATATTCTCACTTCCTCTTTTTAATTGGCTGAAAACCATTACTCTCTCCTGGTGAAGTCTTCAGTAGTCACATACACTCATCCTTTTTTTGAAAGGGGGGGGGGCATAATTCAGGCAAAAATAGAAGAGCGCATTCTTATGTGCAGGAAACTGATTTTATTTTTACATAGCTGTCTCCCCTGTGCACTAGGGCACATTTAATAACATAAAGACCTGGGACAGGTTCTCAGATGTGCTCACAGGGAGCTCAAGCAGAGAGAAGAGGAGGCCCAGTGTGTAGTTCTGTACTGCCTACCCCATACCTATTTGTAGCTTTGAGTTATACCATTTGGGTGACCCTCTCTCCCCCATGAAGGTTCCAGGTTGGACCAAGTGTTTTCAGACCAGTACAAGTTTTCTTTGTCAGTACTGACCATTTTCAGCTTACTGCAGATGCCAAACTGAGAGGCAGCGGGACGGGCGAGCAGCTTGGAAATGCAGGGGTTGGATTTCTGCCCGAGGGGGCAATGCGAGGATCATCCTCTGTAGTTCGAGTGTCTTTCAGTCTCCTCAGAGCAAACAGGTTGATGAGATGTGAGCGGTCACACTGACTCATGGCCAGGGCTTTTTCCTTCTCCCACTTTCTCTAGGTTAAAAAAACAAGAAAACACAAAGAAATTACTGTGCTGTTACAGGGATAGAGTGAGAGCAGGAATTAGCTTTGTCTTATTTGTCTAGGGGCAACTTAAAAGAAAGCCTCACACTTTTGCATGCAGCATTTTTGTGACTCACAAGCAGTGAGGAGTAAACTGTTAAATCAGAAATCCAGCCATGTGCTTTGTCACACAGATTTCATCATGCAGGGAGCTGGATGTCTGCAGACACAGATCTATGCCTATTATCAGAGCTCCAAAGCATAGTAGCAAACAAGCAAGCGTTGCTATCATCAAGCACATTTCTGGTCTCTTTAATATTCTGCATAGAAGAGCAATAAGCATGGGGGAGTGCTGTAGGCTGCCTGAAAAGGGGGAAATGTTCTCCGGTTTTCCCTCATTAGCTGATTTATTAGCATATCTTCCCCACTGGTTCACTCCCTTCCACACAGAAGTGTACAGGTAGCTCTGTGGAGAATTAAACCCGATTTCCATTTCCTTCAGAGATCTTCAAAACTGCAGTATGGCAGTCCACCAAGAAACGCTCTCCCAACTGGACAGATGTTGAGCACTGTAGTCTGTGTTAGAAACTAATTCCAAGAGCCTTGTGCGATGAAAGATGAAACTATCAGGGCTGTAGGCCCTGAACAAAAGTGTTCAAAACCCCATTAAATCCCTGTTACTGCTTTTCCCGACAAACGAAAGTATGAAGGACAAGAGCAGCAAGAGTAACCTCAGAAGTCTGAAGGATGCTGTGTCTGCTCCAGATTTGAACAGTCTAGCTAATGAATTGCAGACGGGGAGGAAGGCAGAAGGGCTGAGCCTGACCAGCCTGCAAAAACTACAAACGAGCCCATCCACAGCCACCCATCATTTGCAAACCAGGTTCCCTTCGAAGCCAGTGAATCGCAGCTTCCTAGTGCTGCGCTTCTCATCTTTACGTATTTTACATAAAGAAAGAGTCTTGATGTCTGTAATGATGAGCCCGAAGGCTATAATCCCCTGATTATCCAAAGGACAGGTGGAGTCAAAGAGCCGTTTTCCTCATGATGTCTTGCCAACGTGATTCATCCATTAGCCGTAGGGACCATCTATCTCGGAATGAGGGGGCAGCAGTGTCAGAGGGTCCCTCCCCTCCTTCGCTGCTTTGCTGCGTATGTTAACAAGCTGGCCAATTAAAAAATATTTGTAAGCTGCTTCACTGACCTTGCAGTCTGCAAAACCAGCCACGAGACATGTCATTAGCAGCAATGCAGTTAGGGGGCTGCTAATTTATCTGCTTGGACTTGCTCAGACTGGGAAAGATTTCATTCTTTATTAGGGGATTTCTGTTATTTAAAGCTGCTGTATTTCAGTGTTTCAGGGGAATTCAGACAGGACTATCACAAAAGAGGCACATTATGGAAAAAGACTGTTAAGTTTTGTATAAATGAAGCGTGTTCTTGCTTTTAGGCTTAACTAGCAGGTAGAAATTTCACGTTTCGATCATCTCTCAGGTTAACTCTTGTTTTGATGAGGCATCTTGAGTCTTTCAGTTCTACAGAGACATGGGTTAAATGGCACCATTGCTTCCTGCCCTGAGCTTGTTTTTTCGGGACATTTATTTTCAGACAGTAATAATGCTGCTTTGGCCATTATAATGCAAGAGAGGGTCCCTAGGTATGAAACACTCAGAGCCCTCTCAGGGTACGTACCCACAAACAAGCAAAATTGGTTTACTGGTATAAACTTGGTTGTAAATTTACAGTGTGTTAGCTTCCACCTATTAACCATGCACGTTCCTACCCAGTGGCACACTCTAGTAATTGCAAAGTAAGTTACTCTGCTTTTGTGGAAGGATAAGCTCCTTGGCCTTCATCTGGAAGTGAGGTGTGCACACAGGCAGGTCCCTGCAAAGTAAGTAGTTTGCTGCAAGTTCACCCCCTGCCTGACATTTGCATCGATACATGGTGATGTTGCATTGGTTGAACTCTATTTCTTCAGCGCTGTGTGCCACATACAGGGCAGACACTTAAGATAATCCTCCTAAAGGTCTTAATTTGCAGTGATCTGGCCAGTACCAGGGGGCTGACACTCCCCATCACATTTTTGAAACACACTACTTGCTTTATCTCTTCTGAATTTTATATCAAATATTATATTAGTGGCGACCAGTTTCATTCCTAGAGTTAATCAAGTGAGTTCATTTGCTAAACGTGTCCAAAGCTTAGCTTCTATATACAGAAAAAAAAACCAACTTGAAAATGAATTTCCATCATTTCTGTCTTTGATTTATTCATAATAAGACCTATTTACTTGGCAGAAGTTGCAAGACCATCTGTCTTTCTGATATGTAATGGCTCCAAACTCAGTGAGCAGTGTTTTTAAAAGAAAACACTCGGAGCTAGTTTCAGACCTGCTGCGAGCAGCCCCAACTCTGTTACTTGACCCATTTATTTCTATCACACAACTTTGAGATGTGGTTAGCCTACAGCACCTGGAACAAGCCGTTGCTTTAGGTCCATTAACATTTTCCTTAATTGCCCCCCCTCTCCCAGCTGATTAATGTAAGCTTTGTCTGTACCTTTCTTTTTGAGTAAAATCTTGGCACACAGAAATTCATTAAAAATTCATCGTATTTAAATAAAAACTGTGTTTTAAAAGCTAGATAAATAAGTACAAACATGATGGCTCAACCCATACTTATGCAAAGAAAAGCAATGCATTGTGTCCGTCCTTTGGAGAAAGGTATGGGGGTTTTCCAAGAAAAATTAGAGGGGACATGATAGTTTAGGGAATTGTTAATACAGCAATAAGCTGCAGGAAGGTGTACTAATTACTGGGCGTACCTCAGACATACTGCTAGGCATGAGACTGATGGATGAATAATGAGACGATAATTGTGATTCTGATTTCAGTTAAACCCTAAGTAGCTTCACTTAAATTAATGGAGTTCCACATGTGTAGCAGTGGTGTGGAATCAGAATCAGATCCAAAAATGCCTTCAACTATGTGGGATGTGTACCTCCATAGAGTCCTTGGTGGCAAGAGCCTAGGTTCGAAATACTGCAAAAATAGCTTGTAGCATTAATAATTCATAGTTTTAAAAGATGTCTTTTTCCTCTGTACAGTTGTAATAAAAGAAATAGCCCCTAGGAAAGCAGAAATTCTGAAGCCCTACAACATTTAAAGAAGAAAGCTTCATCTTGCAATGCAAGAATGGAGAGTATATCATTTACAGAAAAACTAACAGAGGAGCTGCTAGCTCTTTTACACAAGTCAAATGCATGGCACAGTTAGGACGAACACCGGTGACAGTTACCTGATGGGAAATCAGATAAATGACAGTGACTGTCTGTTTACACATCTTCTCAATGATAAGGACACAGCCATTCAACACGGAGAGCTCTGGCCTGACTGTGGCCTCATTAAAAACATTTGACAACCCAACTGTATGTAAGGTGTTGAATTTCCAGAGAGAAATTCAAAAGCAGCCCTGTCTGAAAGGCAGGCTGATTTTGTTGAAAGGAGAAATGAAAGGACTGAAAAGACATGGAGTTACTCTCTTCTCTCTGGTCAAGATGCCCCAGAACACAGTGAATGTACAGGGAACTGCTCTTAGGAGGGCTGTGCCTGCTTCACGGAGGGAGGACTTGTACATTCAGGACACATTTTTCAAGTAATGAGTGCCCTTGCAGAACGTTAAATCAAGAAACTAGAGACAGCAGAAATTAATGTAGGAAAGATAGGTGATTTCCAGCTAACAGTAAATGCATAATATATCTAGAAATGGAATAACTTTATTTTAGAATATATCTTTGGATTTAATTCTGTCACCTTCATTACCCAAGACAGCTGAGCTATGTAAATAAACCCTCCCCCCTTCTTTTCCAGATGTTCCTACAGCAGCCGACGGTGTCCCTGAACTTTAGCAATACTCAGCAGCCGGAGCCACAACAGCTACAGCAGAGATCAGGGGCCATTTCTCAGCAGCAGCTTGTCCCCAGTCCTCAACTTCAAGGGCAAATTGCGTCTTCGCAAACAGCAAACCAGCAAGCACTGAGAGAAGCAAGCGTGATATCGAGCCAGGTAATCACTTCTTTGAATAGAGAAGCATTTATATGGAAAGGAGACACTGAGCTGTTATTAAGCAAGCAAGTAAAATGTCAGTCTGTGAGTGTGGCTGTGACTTTCCTTCCCTATTCTCCTATGTAAGGGCAGCCTATATAAGGGGTCTCCCTACAGCATTTACTTCACCTTAAATCCCCATTTAAGACTGCAGCCAAGACGGTTACTTAAGCAGCTGTTTCAGCTTGAAAGCTGAGCAGGGGTGTGTGCAAAATGTGTGGATGACTCACTGGTCTTCAGTTGATCCTGAAAGAAACCTGACTGACCACACTGGAAACCAGCAATAGTGGTGTTGGCAGCACAGCCTCTCAAAATTAGCTTTACCCCTGCCTGCTCCCTGAATCCAGTCGGATGCCACCAACACAAGGAAACCTGTCTGCTGTGGTGGCACACAGCTGGAATACGTTGGGATTTGTGTATAGACCCCCCAGGTTGTGAGCCTAACAGATCCCTGCAGGGGAAAATAAAGTTCAGCCTCAGTTAGTAGTCACCGAGATCGGTGAAAGCTTACTAGGTTTAGCACGGGATTTTTTTTATATTGCTGGTTTCTCGGCACTTCCAGTGTTTGCCGTTCCACCCACCTGTTGCACCTCCCTTCACATGAAACTTGCCTCCTATTTCTGCTGCCTGAGTGTGCGGCAAACATAGCCGCGTCGTTATCTTCAGACCCCTCAGCTGTAGCTTTTAACCTCCTACATACCTGTATTACAATGACTCTATTAAATTAAAAAGTGCATCCGTATTACAAATGGAAAAACCCCACCATTTTTTTCCTTGAGAAGGCTTATTCCCACCCTCGGGCTCCCCCTGGGTGGGCGGTGGAGAATCCACCCGGGCATCCAACTAGACCAAAACAACTTGCGTTTGGATACTCGGAATGCTCAAACACGAGCCATTCCCACCTGCGGGAGCAAAAGAAATGCCACAGCCCTGAACTCCCAGCGCCCAGCCTCTGAGCCAGGCACCCACCTCACCAGAGGCCACGCGCGGGCCCAGTCCCCACCTCGCAGCGCCCAGGATGCGCCTGCCACGGCCAGGAGCTGGGCTTAGGTCTCCTGACACCCAGCCTTGGGCCGTGCCTGCAAAAGCGCCCTGTTTCTGTTTCCAAAATGCGGGATTTGCGTGGTCCTTGTGTTACAGCAATGTCACTTTTTCTTTTTTCCGTGTGCCAGACTGTTGCTCAGCCAGCCTATTCAGCCTATGATGCCTGGGTCCTGCAATGCACGACACCCTTCAGACCTCAGCATGGCGGGATCCCAGCCTAAGTAAGTGACCTGTCCATGATAAAACAGCAAAGTTCCTCTTGAGGGGAAATAGCCTTCTTTCGTACGATTCCAAAGTAGTTAGTTATAATATCAAGATTGCGTTACTGTGCTGAGCCCACCTTCCAGTGTCAGGGTCAGCCTTACCCTTCCCGGCCACATCAGGAAGGATGACAAAGAAACACGATGTGCTAGTGGTGTTTTAACAAGCCAAGGCTGGGGGGATTTTTCTCCCTCACCTGATGCTTGCTTCAGCACTGGAACTTCTGACAGGCCAAGGTAAATGTGAGAAAGTCAGCACTGGCCCGGTTGAAATAACCAGTGCCAAGAAAGGCCCTACCTGCTCTGTGGGCAGTGACACGCTGGTGTAACGCCAGTGGAGCTACGCCTGATCTGCACCACCAGCACTGAAAGGACCTGCACCTCAGTGCTCTCAGAAACACTGCTGAACAAACCACCACGGTTCTTTGTCTCCTCAAAACTTGGATGAAGGAAGCACAAAACATCAGTCAGAATATGCCTGGGGTTTTTTTTCCTAACTGTTTTTTTGACTGTACTTACTTGTGAACTGCTAAAATAATAGGCAACTGTTTTCACATCATTACTTAAAAGTAATTCTGTCTGTTAGATCAGGAATGTAGGTATTCAATACTTTTTTAAACATCACAATTGCTGTTTAAGATTATCTTGAGTTAAATTTGTCACTTTTAAATGTACAGCATTTTAGATCTGATTTTAAGCATCTAAATAAAAGAGACCTGATTTGCAAAGATACATCTCCCAGTTCATGTAGACTTCCTGACTCATGGGACCCTTTTTTAGGAGCTCACGTCCTAGTACAAGTACCCAAAATGTAGCATTTCTGACTAACCCCTAATGTTGAACAGCTGTTGAGCGAACACACGCCACACTATGATCTCATCACCCATTACAGAATAAACAGAATTAGGATGGGTTGGCAATAGCTCTGTTGTGGTTTTGCCCACAGCCTTCCACAAAACAACACATATTTAAGCTTTGCTATACAAAAGCAGACTGGCAAGAGGAGCTGAGTATTTTGTTTCTGTCTTGCATCCCTCACTCCAGAGGAATTCTAGAGGCTTCTTCTGTTCCTACAGTGTGGCTCACAGTGATGGGAACTGCTGCCCATACTTGGCGATGTGTATACGAGCAGCTTAAGAAGTAACCAACCCTTAGACACCTTTCTGCACAGGCACGCAGGGGAGCACAGGCAGCAGAACGGGGGGTGTATTTACTTCTCTTTCGCTGCAGTTCAGAGCTAAGCATATTAATACTGAATCAAAGGCCATTTGGTTTAATGAGCCAGGGATGTGAATGCTGTGGCTGAAGAGAAAGATAGGCATAAAACAGAATCTTTATTGAATCTAAAACGTAGTCTGGATTCTGAGGTGAGATCTGTTTTGCCCTCCAAGTCCAGCTCATCACAGAGTAAGGGAAAACAGTGCTGCCAATGGTGCCGTCGTTCATATTGGCAGGTCCTGTGCACTGGAATCCTTTATTAGGAATTATTTATGAAGATTAGGGACTTCCATCCCTATCCTAATAGAAGATCTTTGCCTCCAACTGTTTGTTCTTGATTGTTTTTCTTCTTTCTTCCACAGGTATTCTCAAACCCAACAAATGTTTCAAAGTTTGGAAGTGCAGACTTCCAGCAGCAGCTCTCCAATCGTACTGATGGGACAAGCAGTGTTAAACCAAGGGTTCACCACTACACCTCCTTCCCAGCCATCCTCTCTGCCACCTATGCAACTCCAGCACCAACAGCATCAGCAACAACGCTACCTGCAGGTAGGGTAGGACAAAGAGGACAATGTATAAAATGTACACACAGAGTAATAAGGCAAACGGGCTGTGCAAATGGGGCCCCAGGTTTCAGCAGGAGCCTGATCATGGCAGAAATGGCCATTTTAGAGATACCAAAATGTGCGAGACACTGATACAGTGCCGTATAGCAGGGGAGATGTGAGAACAGTCAGAATATTTAAAAGGAAATTACTAATTCTGTACATTGGAAACATAATCAGATTATCCTGGATATATTTAAAGTGTATTTCTAGATGGGCAAAATTGCTGCCTTAGGATTTATTCTGTTCTCTTTATTCAGTATAAAATTTGCTTAGTTTACAAGTCAAAAGATGATTTTTAATTACCAGCATCGACATAAAATGAGATCTGGATCAGGTATCTGGATCCCCTCAGTAAATTAACATATTTTCTCAACTCCACAAGGCAAAGAAGATAAACTGGAGCACATTGCCTGGAAAAAACAGGTGATATGAGGATGTAAAAATACTTATTTTTTGACCTAATTGAACACATACTAAACTAAATGGGTAGTGGGGGGAAATTAGGTGTCTCTGTATTAACTCAAAAGGAGATGAAATGAGTCTATACAACCTGATCACATACCCAGTGGCATCACTGAAAGAGTATCATCATCCTCAAATGATTAAACTCTTGTTACTGAAATGAAATGCTTATCATAGCTGAGAATTAATGAAAAAACTATGGCAGATACTGTTCCCAACAAAAGCATCTGCAAAATTCACATCGACTTCACTACTGCAAGGTCACACCCTACTGTAAACTCGCTAGAAGGGACAGCATGAGGTGCACTAGGATCCCCTGTTTCATTTCTGTCATGCATCTGTGTCATTTCTGACACGTTCACCCACCCTATTCCTAAACAGGCTTTTCAGGATAACCCGCAAACCCTAGGCAGTGCATTCCTATTAGAAAACCATTCTCATTGCCTAATTGTAATGTTCTTTGCTGCAGTTTATGTTAATTCCTCTTAGCATTAGGTAAACTAACCCCATGCCAAACAGCCCCAGAAATAAAAGCCAGCAAACTAGTAGTATTTTTAAGCACCCTGTACACTGAGGACGAAGAGCTTTAACGTGTGAAGGAATCGAACACTGCGATGAATTTTATTTTATCTGTAGGTGCAAACACCAAGTTCTTTGCACAATGAGCAACCCGATTCTTTGCTCCTGCCATCTTACTCGCCACAGCAAGGAAATATGGGGTATCATCAGACACAGCAGCAGCAGCAGCAACTAACATCAAGAAGAAGCAATAGCTTATCAGAATCATCAAATTTACCACAGCCACTGCGATAGAGTCCCACCAGCACAATCAATGCACGATTAGCTTTAACCAATGGGCACATGGGGCAGAAGAGAATGACTTTGTACTTACTGTTCTGGCTTTTGCACAAGCGTTTCTTTCAAAGCTCTATGACAGAAGTACGCCACGAGTGCAGACTGCCACAGACAGTGCATTTATGGCATGCTGGATTCAGTTTGCACTGTCTTGTGAGCACAGTATGTACTGACAGAGCAAAATAAAAAGGAACTCTATCCTGCACAGCCTCCATCATCAACGGGTGCACGGGAGGAAGTGTTCAGTCTTGGCGTGTCACTCTGAAAGCTATCTGTCAATTCCAAAAGACTGTCGACAGACTCATGAGGTACTTGGCCTTTACTGTTTCAGTTCTTCTTTTGTGTATGAAAAGCACTGCGTCAAAGGTCTATTGAGGAGAGAACAAGAGATTATTTTTATTATGATTATTGTTATTATTTTGCACAACTGCACAGAGGACAAAACCTAGGCACTTTCTGTAAAGAGAAGTTTGTTTCCTTATTCTTGTCGCCAAATTAGCACATCCAATGGAAGAGAAACCCCAGTCATTGGTGAAGATGGTCTATAGCTCATAACCCTTGATTTAGAATCTGAAAAGTATTATGCAGCTTACCCTAACTGTTCTTCATTACTAAAAATCAAACAAAGCAAAACCAAAACCATAACCCACACTGGACTCTTTTCTATGTGAATTGTGATTGCAAAGGAGAACTCAGATTCTAAGCACAATCGTGCAACTCTCCAGTAGTACAACATGAATCCTTCTTCAACCTATACTCACCACCGCAAGTCTCCGAGAAATATGCACTGTGTTTTGGCCCACTGACTTGGGATGCTGCAGACTATTACATATCTCTCTCATTATAACATTTAGGATTGAATTTTCCTTTTTTTTGGGCGGGGGGGGGAAAGAAATGCACTTTTCGCTTTTTTTGTATGTTTTCTGTTGATATGTTTCTAAGAAAGATTTTATGTAATTATTAAATAAAAAGTAGTGTATTGTACAGCTGTTGTAATAATGACCTATTTCTATATAAAATAAAATTATATGGAATTATGTGGAAATTATTTTGTATATGAAATATCAACTCATTTCACAAGTATAAAGATTGTGCTTGTGCTTTTTTGTGAGTGGGTATTTTGTAATAAACTAATGAATTAGAAATGTTTTTGTGAAGGGAACTGCTGTTTCATGCTATATACAACTCAAACTATTATTTTTTTCCATTTAATGATGGACAGTTGTCTTTATTTGTAGAATAAAATAAAATAGCCAAAAGGCTTTATTGCAGGACTTGCACACATTTTCCTGTGGCTGTTCAACTATGTGATTCACTTTAGATTTTTTTGCACCATGTTTGGCACCCAGTTAGCAAAAACAAGTATTATCTTATGGGATCTTTGTTATGGCATAGACAGAAAGAATGATAGCTCAGGAATTATGTTAGCTGCTAGCCAAGACAGCTCTTTTTAAGCTCCTTTAAAACTTTGAAGACCTCAGACACCTCTGTACTCCCCACCAAACAGTTTTAGAATAGGACAAAAAAGATGTTTTGAAGAATAGTTTGACCCAGCATATACCAGGTCTTTCATCCATGTCCAGCTTCAGTGTTTAAGACATCACAGTCCTAAGTTTTGTGATACGCCATCTCTGCTGGAAGTGCTACCATGCCCACACTGTAGGCAGGCTAGTTTCCACATTGGCATCTTTGTGCAGACTCTTTTCCATGTTAAATTCAAATTGACTTTGGGATGGAGCAGCCAAGGTACAGGCCTGCTTTCCCTCTGCTGACTCTGCTCCAACACAGAATGAGGTGGGTAACGGAGCATAGCAATGGTTTCATTCACCGCAGCAAGATAGAGAGGGGATGGTCCTCAGGGCAGCTTGCAGCCACCCAAGCCAGCATAGCTTCAAGAGAGCACAGACCATGCTGCCCTTCCCGCCCTTCAGTACTGAGGGTCACATCACCAGGGCCCATGTGTTCAAATCTGGCTTCTATGCCATAGAGGAACAATGAAAATAATTGGGCTGGGAGTTGGAAATGGTAAACTTTCCAAGAAATGAAAAAGGTTCACTTGCCCCAAGTTCTTAAAAAGCTAAAAAAGAAAACCCCCTGGCCAAATGCCCCTGCTTCTTCCACAGCAAAACTGGCTGGTAGCACTGATCAGTGCATGTGTATTTCAGTTCATACAACCCTTTTGGCTTACTTCACTGAAGGAAGACAAGGCAATCAAGTATCTGGTCTCTAAAAAGCATTTAGAAATCACATCTGGTCTCCAAGTGCTCTTACTGCTAACTTTAGTTGAGTTTGCCTGCTCATCTCTTTAAATTCTTGCATTCAGTGAAGCAAGAGTGACCCCACCAGATGAAGATTAAAAAGCTAAACCCTAAGGTGCTTTCACTTAACGTCTGAAGGAACCTCTCTCTTTCCATTAACTACAAATAAACCTTAGCAAAGGCCAGTTGGTTAAATGAGGCTAACTTCATCAATTCCACCTGTTCCTGTAAGGGCTTATTCTGGGAAAGGGGAGGAGAAATCTGTAGGCAAAAAAAGTTCATGCAGGGAGGAGGCAATGAAGGAACATGACCACCTCAGAGGAAATACCTGTGGAAGAGCCACTTGATGGGTCTCAGCTACTATGATGGAAGTCACAGGAAGAGAAAATTCCTTTAAGAGTTTGTTTTACTGTACTGGGTCTGACTGAGCTGGAATTGGCCTTCCCCTGTAGCAGCCCTCATGGTGCTGTGTTTTAATGGCAGGGTGTTGATAGCACCCTGGTGTTGTGGCTACTGCTGAGCGGTGCTTACACACCACCAAGGCTCTTCCCAACATTCACACCCCCCGCCATGGGACAGGGTGGGCAAGATCTTGGGAGGGGACACAACCAGGACAGCTGACCCGAACCGACCAAAGGGATGTTCCAGACCATAGGACGTCTCTCAGTATAAAGCTGGGAGAAAGGAGAAAGGGGGTGGGGTCACCCTTGGTCCTCCGAGGTAACCACTACGCGTATGGGAGCCCTGCTCCTGAGAAGGCCCGACAGCGCCTCTTCATGGGAAGGAGAGAATAAATCCGTTTTCTTTTTTTTGCTTCCATGCACGGACCCTTGCTTCGCTTAGCTTGTATTAAAACTGCTATTAAAATTGCTTTTGTTTTACCCACAAGGGTTGGTCTATCTTATTTTCATTCCCCTCTTTGCCCTGTTGAGAAAAAAAGGGGGGAGGGGAAGTGCTAAGAGCAACTTGGTGGGTATCTGGCATTTAGCCAAGGTCAAACCACATTTACTCTCAGAGATAGTTCTAATACACCCACATCTCTCCTTTTGTTAGTGGGATAAACCAAACTCAGCCCTGGAGCACACTTCGTTTTTCTAAAACCAGCAGTACTGCAAGTTGTGCAAAGGGAGAAGCTGTAAATAGGGTGGGGTTGCCTTCCAATAACCTCATTTATTATATTATTTGAAAGGATACAAAGCACTTGCAAGAACAGATTTACTGTTAAAGAGGAAAAGATTACTAATTTTTAATGTTCTGTCACATTCCTTCCCTGCACACACATTCTGGTTTTGGATTACTGCACTTGTTCCCTGTTGCACACCCAATGCAGTGCCAGGCCTCTTCGTTGAGTTGGGCTGTTGTTCCAGTTCGTTATAGCCGAAAACGGTCTCGCCCCACCACCATCCCTCAGCTCTGGCCATTTTGCTCGGCGGGTGGCCAGGCGGGGTGGTCGCCGCAGGCTACTGCCCCACGCTGGCGTGCCGAGCTCCTGCCTCAGGAACGGCAGCTGCACCTCTCAACAGGGCAACCTGCTTGCTAGAAGCACAACACCCCTAAGCCGAGTTGTGGAGGCTCCCCGCACAACGCACCACCTAAAAAACAGCTGCTTAGACAGGAGGCGAGCGACCGAGCGGGCGGGCGGCCCGTCACTCTCCGCGAGATCCCCGCCTCAGGGCTTCGGCTCCAGGCTGCGGCAGAAGCAGCTCTCGAGTCGGGAAAGCCGGCGACCGCTCCCTCCCCGGTACCGACAGACCGACAACCCACCGGCGGACGAGCCGTCCCCAGGCCCTGCCTCGCGCGAGGAGCATGCGCGCCACCGCCCGCCTGCGCCCCTCCGCTTGGCGCCGGCGCAGTCTGTCGCCGCCCGCATCCCGGAAGAGCTCCTCGCTCCCACAGGCCCTTGCGCGTTCCTTTCCGGCCCGTTCCCGGCTGGGTGAGTGGCGGCCCCGGGGCCGGGCGGCCGAATCCGCCGCCATCCGCCTTGCAGACCCCGCGGCGGGAGG